GAGCAACGATTCCCACGAAACAAGAAGCGATAGTAAATTTTCTGAAAGAAAACCTTACAGAGAAAACTACCTATGTGCACTTTTTATCAAAAGAATTACGTGTTTTATTTCAAGAAGCACTATCTAAACACTTTTGTAATTACAAGCTTGTAGAATGCACAAAACTCATTAATAATGTTAAACCAGAGGAAAGAGAAATGATAATAAGATTTTCACACAAAGGCAAAACTAACCATCGAGGAATACAGGAAACCCTAAAACGCCTGAAAATTAATTATTATTGGAAACCCCTGAAATCTGACGTCACTAAATTTATTAATGGATGTGAAATATGTCAAAGAACTAAGTATAACAGGAATCCACCAGACCAACCTCTTGTATTGACAGAAACACCTTCAAAACCCTTCGAGATTATTCACCTCGATACACTCCTTGTAGATAAACAAAAATTCCTAGTAATCATAGACAAATTTTCCAAATATGGACAAGCCCTTCCTTGCGTTGGCACAGCCATATCAGTATCCCAAAATCTAATCCATTTCTTTTCATTTTTCGGTATCCCTAAATTGATTGTATCCGATAGTGGAACAGAATTCAAGAACGAAGTAGTTAAGGATTTATTGAAAACACATAATATTAAAATCCATTTTACTACTCCAAATCATCACGAGTCGAATTCGCCCGTTGAAAGGTTAAATTCGACCCTGATAGAACACATAAGAATACTACGAGAAAAAAACAAAAATACTGACGTATCAACCCTAATGTCCTATGCTGTAATTGCTTATAATAGCACAATCCATTCAAGCACAGGCTTTACTCCCTATACATTGATTTTAGGACACACTTCTTCTAGTGACCCTATGCAACTTATGCCCGCGCAAATATTCACCGAATATGTCCACAATCACAAAACTAACACGGAAGCTTTGTATAACAAAATACAACAAGACTCAATTAATTTAAAACAAAAACTTATTGACAAACATAATCAAAAGAAGACCCCTCAAAAACTAACCATAGGGTGTCAAATATATAAAAAACAAAACAAACGACGTGGTAAATTACACCACAGATTCACAGGTCCATTCATCTTAACAAAAATATTAGAAAACAACAAGATTGGAATTGAAAACCCCAAAACAAATCGAAAAGAGATTTTGCATATCAACGAAACCAAAATCAAATTTATTGTTACTGATGGATCCGAATCTTCAACATCGGAGCAGTAGGAATAAACTTCCATAACCTGAATAAATATCCCGGACTCCTACCCTATAAATTGGGAACTGCCAAAATAGTTTCCAATCATTGGTCATTAATACAAATTCACGACCTAACACCCCTTGATAACGAATTTTATTTGATCAAAGAAAACGCTAACTATTTAATTAAAAACATTACAAATAATGTATCCTATGAACGAGAATATAAAAACACGTTGCTGCCTTTAATGGCATTAGAAAAACGCATAGAAAACAACATAAGGCAAATTGACCCAACGAGTAGTTACTCAAAAAGACAAAAACGTGGCATCTTGAATCCTTTAGGATCATTAATAAAATGCATTACTGGCAATCTTGATAAAGATGATGCAGATCTTTATGATAGGCAAATTAGACAATTACAAGAAAATCAAGATAAACTTAAAAAATCATCTTTTAATCAAATTAATTTATTAGGGAAAACCATTGAACAGTTTCAAAACGTTATCTCTAATATATCTGCCAATCAAATAACGCTAAAATCGAGAATACTGCAAATTGAAAGCACAATTAAAAAGGTAACTCTGTCTGCTATTGACAACCATCAATACTTCCAAACTCACATAATAATTAATCAGATATCAATGCTATATCAAACAATTTACGATATCTTAGAAAAAACGGAAGTAGCTATCTCATTTGCTAAAATCAATACGCTCCATAATTCAATAATCGATCCATTAGAGCTAATAAAAGAAATTTGTAGATTTAAAAAACAATTAGTGCATGACGTGTTACCATTAGAAGCCAATATTGATAACATATTGAACTACGAAAAAATAATCGAGATTAAAGGCTATTCAAAGGGCCTGATTATCACCTTCATCTTGGAAATACCATTGGTCGAATCGGATGTCTATCACTATTATCAATTATTTCCGATACCAATTCCAAGCGAACAAAATCCTGATTTCTTTATGAACTTTCCACACAAACCATACCTTGCACTTAGCAACAACAAGTACTCTTATATGGACCAAACCTGCAACCAATTGTTACCCAACGAGTACTTATGTGAAGAAGCCTACACTGCATACATTGATCATGAGCCTCCATGTGCAGTCCAATTGATTTTATACAAAGAAAATGCCACTACTTGCCACCCTTTCCGTATCAGACTACAAAATGTCCAAATCACTAAAATAACGGACGGAAAATGGATAATCACAACGCCCGAACAACTAATTGTCTCAGCATCTTGTCCAAATTCTAAGGACAACGTACCGCTTCATGGTTCCTACTTAGCCGAATCTACAAATGAATGCAGCTTACAAATAAAGTCAATTACTCTACGAACTTATAAGCCCAATCGTTTGACTTATGATGATGTATCCTTGCCTACACTGAATTTATCGATGAATTATTACCAAACAAAGGAGTTTGCTTTTAATCCACCTACACTTGACCTGAACTGCATCAACTTGAAGGAAACCAATGAAATTGCCACAACGCTTCAAGAACAGAAGAGACGACTACAAGAAATATCCAACCCAATGGAAATACACCAAATAAATTTTTGGACAATTTTACTTTATTGTATTTTAGGAATACTATGCATTTTTACTGTCTATAAATTACTTTTGAAACATCGCCTTAAACGTGCCCAAAAAGCCTCGTTAGAAGACGATATTGTAATTTAACAATTTTACTTTTACTTATTTAGTTTAATCATATTTTTCTTTTAGCATTTTCTTTATTTTTTCCATTGTATAAAACCATACCTTTTTTGGTATGCTTTTAACTTAGGATGGAGGAGTTATATCCCGTCAGAACTCCAATTCAGCATTTATATTGTTCTATTCAGCTTATTTTTTATATTATAAAAGGAGTAATTTCTAGATTTAAGTCAGTTCTATTGTATTAGTCAAATAAAGTTTTTTAAAAACGCTCTCTCGTGTACACCCCTCATAAGTCATGCCATTTTGACATTAGGTTCATTGACAAAATGAAAGAAAAATTTTGCTAAGACATACGTTTAAAAAACCATAGCAATCTTTGATTGGTTTTTTTTTTGAAGATCTTCAAAAAAAAAACCAATCAAAGATTGCTATGGTTTTTTAAATGTATGTCTTAGCAAAATTTTTCTTTAATTTTGACAATGTCAGTCAATGAAATTTAATGTCAAAATGTCATGTCAAAAATTCTGACCAATAAAGAAACAATAATGCGACGTACGTTTTCGTAACCAAAGCAATCTTTGATTGGTTTTTTTTTTTGAAGACCCGATATAAGAACAACAAAAATAGAACAATCTTCAGAATAGTGTCATTTTTAAACAATTTTCGATGTTCGATAATTTCAATTTTGAAGCTTCTCAGGTGTAAAACTGTTAAAACCAAATTGAAATCTCAATTAACAGGTTTGCAGAAAATATAATTGGCTTTAATTACAGTCTTATTGCGTTGAAATTGGATGGAAATTAACGAAACTGTGAGACAAAAACTGTATTAGTGTCATTTTTGGGCAATTTTCAATGTTCAATAATTACAATTTTGAAGCTTCTCAGGTGTAAAACTGTTAAAACCAAATTGAAATTTCAATGTACACGTTTTTAGAGAATTTAATTGGCTTTAATAAGATCTCAATTACATTGAAATTCAATGAAAATTGACGGAGCTGTGAGGCAAAAACTGTCTCAGTGTCATTTTTGGAAAATTTTCAATGTTTGATAAATTCAATTTTGAAGCTTCTTAGTTATAAAACTGTTGAAACTAAATTAAAATATTAACTAACAGGTTTCTACAGAAGTTAATTGGCTTTAATTAAAGCCTAATTGAGTTGGAATCGGACTAAAATTTAAGGTGCTGTAAGACAAAAACTGTCTCAGTGTTATTTTTGGAAAATTTTCAATGTTTGATAATTTCAATTTTGAAGCTTCTCAATCTCAGCTGCAAAATTCTTAAAAGTAAATAAAAATCTTGATTACCAGGTTTGTAGAGAATTTAATTGGCTTTAATTAGACCTCGATTACATTGAAATCAAATGAAAATTAACGAAGCTGTGAGGCAAAAACAATCTCAGTGTCATTTTTGGAAAATTTTCAATGTTCGATAAATTCAAATTCAAGCTTCTCAGGTGTAAAACTGTTGAAACAAATAAATATATAATTTTGTCTAGCACGAAAACACAAAAAACTAAACTTTCATTCATCAGTTATTTTGCTATTCATTTCAAACTGTAATCTCTCTGAGAACCAGACAAGAGCCTGGAAAATCTTACTTTTCTGTCCATAGGTCAGTGGCGCTTGGCGCTCTAATTATAACCTGCCTCTACTCTCAAAAATTGATTTTTTCTCAATATAGTACACAATTTATTTTATTGATGAAGATTGAAGATTTTACTAATAAGGGACCATTATTACAAGAACTCGGACCAACTTTTCTAGATCTACAAAACTGATTTCTAAAAAAGTTACGAAGAGAGGCATTTGGGAAAATACAATCAGTCTCATCTCAATGTTAAGAAAACTGATAGGACCAAAACAAAAAAGGTCGATAATACTGAATCCTAAAATGAATTAGAGTTTTTACTAAATAGGTAATTTTCACAATTCATCTCCATCAAACTAAACATCAGAAATTAGATTTTAAACCTAAAATACATTGACACAACATCAAATCTATCACTTACCGAATCTTAATTATCCTTAAGTCATTGCTTAATTTGAAAAGAGTTTAAATTCAATTAAAAATGTTTGGCATTTAAGTTAAGATAAACCAAAAAAAGTGAACTTACTTGTCTTCATCGCTCTCGAAAGCCTCATCCTCATTATCGCCACTGTCGGCAGCACTATAAGTATGATCCTGACTAGGGGAAGTACTAATAATCTGTAAAACAATCTAATAAAGAGACAAATTTGATGCGATATGGAAAATCTTACTTGTAAATTATGCGAAAAATTAATCCTAGTAGCATGCTTAAGGCTCAACATCACTGCGGCAGCGTCTGCAGCGTCCAAAGATTCTTCCTGCAATAATTTATTTAAAACACACACACACAAAAAGGCTGAATTTTCTTACCTGTTCAGTTTTGATTCTTTGCCCTCCATTGCCATTCATTTTCTTGCTCAAATATGGAAAAAGATCAGGATTGGGTACATTGGTGCTTTTATTCCGTTCTTCTTTGACCGACGACTGGTTGGCTTTGGGCATCAGATAAATACTGGGATCGATTGCCGAGCAAGGGTGAAATGGTGATCGGTTCAGGGCTTGGATTAAGTTAGGCTTGAATTGAGGGTCGACAGTCCAAAGGGAACCTTTACCTAGATTCTGAAACAAAGTTTGTTATGTTTTGAAGTGGTTTAAGATATATAAGAAAAAAATGAAAATATAATGAAGCATCAACTATGGAAAAAAAGCAATTTTTAAATGCAATAAAGCATACCCTAGATCCTCAAACTACATATTTCAATGGGATAACTATAACTCTAAAAACCAATTATTCTCAAAAGAAATCTACTCAGGTAGCACCTTTGCTTTGACTTTAATGAAGTTTTTGGCTCAAAAAGGATTTTCTGTGAATATAATAAACTAGCAGGTAGCTGATACAGTTGAGTTTCAAATGGAAATTGATCCTGAAACTTCCCTTAATTTGAGAATTAAATGGTTTAAATTCATTACCAATTATTAATTAAGCAAATTAAAAAAAAAAAAAACTTTGCTTACTTTGGTACTTACTGGTGCCTTTTCAACTTTCTGAAAGCACTTATTCAACGACAAATTATGCCTGACGCTATTCTTCCATCCTGTAGGCGCGTTCTGGAAATAAGGAAAATGATCGACGATCCAGGCGTAAATTTCCTTGACCGGCAACGCTTTCTGTTTCGAGTCCTCGATGGCCATAAATATCAGACAGGAAAACGAGTACGGCGGCTTGTTTTGGATGTGGATTTGTGGATCGTACGGTATTGTGCTGCGACTACTACTACTCTGATTTCCTAAAAAAAATCAATTTATTTTTGAATTTTTAAGTTAAATTTTTACATTCATTTACCTGTAGGATAATTATTATTATGACCTCTTGGCGTAGGCGAATTGACAGCACTGTAAGTGGAAGACTCCGGGGTACCGATGGAAGAATCGTCAACGTAATCACTTGTCGGCGATTGGTCGGGAAGAAACTGGACACTCGTTTTGATTGGCGTCGAATTTGAACTATTCAAAGGTGACGTGTTAATGTTCATGCCTTTGAGGATGTCGCCTTCGTGCAGCCATGACAAGCTGGTCAAATCATCGTCCGGGCCTTTTTGGCTTTGGGCGACCGCCAGTAGAATGGATATGGGCGATTGGGCGTTGTGCATCGGCGTTAGGGCGATCGGGCTACCCGGTACCGACATTTGTTGCTGAGGTTGGGCGCCCGTTTCGCTTTGCGCCGAACTGGGCCGTTCTGGAGACATATTTTGGGAAGAGGGATACAGCTGGAAAGAATAAAGATGGTTAGAGAATTATCTAGTCAATTCTAGAAGCAACGACGCGCTTTAAAACGGAATCAGTGATGTCGATAATAATAAGACACTGAGTTGTGATTTATAGTAACTAAAATGTAGTGTGACTTCTAAGGTCGTGTTTATGTTGAAGCTGTGATAAACGATAAAAGCAACAATATTAATGTAAAGCATCATTAGTATCGTTGCTTTTATCGTTTATCACAGCTCCAACATAAACACGGCCTAAGGCTAAAAAATCGATATAGAGCGAGTCCAAATTTACCATCAGAAACATTTGAAAATTTTAATGAAAAAAAAATAAATTAGAAAGAAATCTAATTTTTAACTCCGGAAATTTTGTGAAATCTTGACACGCTCATGAATAATTGATCATATCTACAATGACATTTAAAAAAAAAAATGGGCCACAATTATACATTAATGGACAGAGTATCAAATTCTCTATAAACCGTGCAAAATTGGTTTGTGGAGTCTTCGAAACATTGAGCTTCAAATTTGAAGTTTAATCAACATTTTGTCCAAAACATCAAAGTCGATTTTCTCGAAAACCATTAACGCTAGCGATTTCAGCTGAATACCATTTTGAAGCCTTTATTAAGAGCTAGAATTCTTGGAAATTTTATCCCAGTACTGCTTTTGGTTACCGAGATATTCAGATTTGAATATTTCCAAATAAAAATTAAAAAAATATGTAATTTACATTATTTTTCAATTTTGCACAATTTTGATGCCTTTTTATCCATAGAGCTAGTCATCAAATTAATCAAAAACGACTCTTGAATATGAAAAAAAGTTATTTAATAAAAAGCATAAGAAATAAGGAACTTTGGAAATTACATTCCTGAAAAATATTTCCCAAAAATCCTTTAGAATCCCCAAAAATCTGCTAAAATCTCAAAGAATCCTTTAAAATCTCGAGAAAAATCCTTCAAAATTCCCTAAAATGCTCCAAAATCACCTAAAATCTTAAAAATCTAGAATCTTTTAAAATCCTGTAAAATTGTGTGAAGATTTTCAAAATCCTACAAAATCAATAAAAATTTAAAATCTGTGTACAGGGTGTTTCAAATTCGAGCCACATCATTGAGATCTCGGAAACGGTGAGAGATACAGGTTGGTTAAATTGGGGAAAAGTTACGTAATTTGATGCTTAACAAAATGCCGCTTTGATATTTAGGATATTCTGGATTCTCACGGAGATATTCGAAAAAAAACGAAATTTTGCAAAATTGTTTTTATTTTTTCCTGACTTCAATTTTAAGTGATATTTCAATAAAAATATCACTTCATCATAGCCATTTTTTCTCGCCTACAAGATGCTACCATCAAATTTGAAATCTGACGTTTTGTCTTTGAGCCACCATCATCAACTTTATTTTTTTGAATACGATTCCGGATTTTTCATTTCAGATTTTAGGAGCTTCTGATGTTCCAAAACCTATGACGTATCACATTTATTCGAAAAATTATTTTTAGTAATTTCTTACCGAAATTCATATTCTAAATATCAAAGTGACATTCTGTTGAGCATCAAATCACGCAACTTTGCCCAATTTAACCAACCCTGTATATCTCACCGTTTCCGAGATCCCAATGATGTGACTCGAATTTGAAACACCCTGTACATATTTAAAGGAGTTGACCATCCCTGGGAAATTACTTCACATACACACAAACAAACTTATAATGGAATCACCCAATTTTTTTGGAAAAACGTTTTTATATTGATAAAAACATACAGTGAGTTCATAAAGTCCCGCATAAATTCATTATTTTGAAAACAGTAGAATTTTTGAAAAATCGCTCGGATACGTCAATTTTGTTTTTTTGTTTGAAATTTTTCGATATATTTTTTATCATACAGGGTGTCTCAAGAATAGCTTTGCTGCTTTCAACTTAATTTTTTCAAATGGTACCTCCTGTATATTATGACATTTCTGGATTTTACGGAAAATTCTAGACATATTTCATGTATAATGTCATATGCCTATCTTCAACTGTTTCGGAAATATTGACAGTTGAAAATTGACTTTTTTGCATCTTTGAAAGACTGTAAAACCTGAAGGAATGATTTTACACAAAATCGATGATACATTTTTATCTTAGTTTTTCATAAACTAACATTTGACACCAACTTTGAAGTTAATCCATGATTAAAAATTCCGGTCAAATTTAATCTCCGGTTTAATTCAAAGTTGGTGTCAAATGATAGTTTATGAAAATCTAAAACAGGAATGTAAAATCGGGTTTCCTCTAAAATTAACCGTTTAGGTTTTACAGCCTGTCAAAGTTGCAAAAGAGTCAATTTTCAATCTATATACAGGGTGTCCCACGGTGGATGGCATATTAGACGTTTATGGAGAACTAAAAAGCGGATCATATTGAAAATTTGGCAACCGGGATAAACGACCATAATCTACACTTTAAAAATATTTTTGTTTATGCGGTGTTGCCGCTTCTACTCTAAACTAGTGGCAACATCGCTATTTTAAATAGAACACCCTGTATGTGATTGCATATTTGGATTCTACGTAAAATTCTGAACAAATTTCATGTGATATACCCTATACCTAAGTTCAACTATTTCGGAAATATTGACAGTTGAAAATTGAGTTTTTGCAACTTTGACAGGTTGTAAAACCTAAACGGTTAATTTTAGAGGAACACCGATTTAACATTCCTATCTTAGATTTTCATAAACTATCATTTGACACCAACTCTGAATTTAACCGGAGATTGAATTTAATTGGAATTTTTAATCATGGATTAAATTCAAAGTTGGTGTCAAATTATAGTTTATAAAAATCTAAGATAAGAATGTAAAATCGGTTTTCCTCTAAAATTAACCGTTCAGGTTTTACAGCCTGTCAAAGTTTCAAAAAGTCAATTTTGAACTGTCATTATTTCCAAAACAGTTGAACTTAGGTATAGGGTATATAACATGAAATCTGCTCAGAATTTTACGTAGAATCGAAATATGCAATCACATACAGGGTGTTCCATTTAAAATAGCGATGTTGCCACTAGTTTAGAGTAGAAACGGCAACACCGCATAAACAAAAATATTTTTAAAGTGTAGATTATGGTCGTTTATCCCGGTTGCCAAATTTTCAAAATGCGCTTTTTAGTTCTCCATAAACGTCTAATACGCCATCCACCGTGGGACACCCTGTATATAAACGTGAAATTCACTCACTCACTGACTGACTGACTGATTAAACACGAAATCTCGAAAACTACTAAACCAATCGAGATGAAATTTTGCAAACAGGTAGGTAATAGGTTGGAGATGCTCAATAAGAAATAATATCAACATGGCCTAAAGCAATCGCCTTAAATAACCAAAAATAAGAAACGGTGTGGCGCGGAAGTGCGGGGAAAAAAGTGTAAACAGAAACAGACGACGTGTCAGCTGTCAAATTCAGAAATACGACAAGCAGAATCAGATTCATAGCGATTTTCATTTGCAGAATCAGTGCAAAAAAATGTGTTTTTGTCGTTATATTTTCATGCTTTCACCAGAAACGATTCGGAACCGATTCTGAACAAATTCCACCGGTCCCAGGATAAGCTAACTTTAAGTTTGAGACATGACATTCGCAATTCGTTCACGTATTCGACAGTCTGGAGCAAGGTTCTGGAGTTTTTGTTCGGTTCCAAAACTGTTCGCGATAAAATAGGAACCTGAACCCATTCACAAGTTGGGATCGGGTTGCTTACTCCGAGTTACTCTGATCGCACTCCAGCCGTTATCTGATAAGCTAAAAGGTAATACCCGAACGGCTGAAGTGCGAACCGAGGTGCGAACGGAATCACTCGGAGTGCATGGAGTGAGCAAGCCGAACCCAGCTGGGCATGCGCTCTACGATAGTCCTCAATTAGTTCCGGACTAGTTCGGAATCGGTTCAAAATATGATCCGCGAACAAAGCTATTAGCAGCGAGTGGCACTTCAAAAAAATTTAACGTCAGCTGTCAAAAAATAGTCTTCATTCTTCATATTTTGCAGCCACAAAGCAGAACAAAAAATGTGGTTTACAGAGAGGTGCTGCAAAAATAAGAGTTACACGACCATATGCTTGACGCAACTATCCCCTTAGCTCTATGAAAGAAGATTACCTAATGCTACCTTCACCCTACACCTACAAAATTTGTATAGGGCGTGCGAAGCCGCGGCAACAGCTAGTAGTCAATATTTCCGAAACAGTTGAAGGTATATGACATTATACATGAAATATGTCTAGAATTTTCCACAAAATCCAGAAATGTCATAATATACAGGGGGTACTATTTAAAAAAAATAAAGTTGATACCAGCGAAGCTATATTTGAGACACCCTGTATGATAAAAAATATATCGAAAAATTTCAAACAAAAAAACAAGATTGACGTGTCTGAGCGATTTTTCTAAAATTCTACT